CTCCGCTTCCCGTGCCACGTTCTTCCGCCTCCCGTACTTACTTTTGCGCCCCTTTGCTGATTCCCGCCTTTCATTGTGTTGCTCTCGTCTTCAGTTTAATCAAGAGGAACAGAAACCAGGGTTTAACTTTCAAACTGTGCCAAAAATTAATATTCTTTTTCATTTTCTAGCCTTTATCTTGGCGCGGGATCATTGGTTCCCGATGAAAGTTCACACAGGTCAGTTTCCTTAATCAACACAACCGGATTATCACAGTTTGATGGTCGCTTATGACATCTCATGATAAAGACGAAAGTCATTTCACTGTGTGATGTAATTTGAGTTGTGCGGAGCGAACTCCCAGGAAGGTCTTCCATGATCGGATTTTTCGCGCTCACAACGAAAAATACTGAGGCCGATTAATATAGTCTTTGACGGCGTGTCATCTGAATGACCCTGAATCGCTTTCTTTGCTGGACATTTTTGACAGCTACAGCTTACCAAACACTATACATGTCATGCTATCTCACGTTTTCTTGCCTCCGAAATTTTCTTTTAAGCATTGGTGGATGTTAAATGGAAATTTCAAAACGTTGCTAGATAAGTGTTTTTGACTGAATAATACCCAGTAATAAAGAACAAACTATCGCCTTATTTATTTCTGCTTCCGCTTCCCACCCTCATGTAGATACTGCTTCCCGCCCTCATATAGATATTGCTTCCTGCCCCCTGTTCTCCCGCTTCCCTCTCTTTTCCACCCCCTGTTCTCCCAGGCTCCCACCCCCCTGTCCCCCTCCACTGTAGAACTACAGAGATAAACACGGGTACCAGCTGGCATATCAAGAGGGCGGCCAGCGGTCAAAATCCACTTAGCATGCTTGACCAGTCCAGCGTTTTGGAAACGACATTAAATTTGCACATTAATCAAAGTCTATAATTTCGTGAGGAAAGAAACGTGTTGTGGCGTTAAAGGAGCACTCTTATGAAACCGCCCTATAATTTGAAAACCCGAAAAATTCAGTTATTTCATTATAAGATAAATTTTTAGCGATTAATAAAGCCTTTTCAAGCCTTGTCCCCCTCCACTGTAGAACTACAGAGATAAACACAGGTACCAGCTGGCATATCAAGAGGGCGGCCAGCGGTCAAAATCCACTTAGCATGCTTGACCAGTCCAGCGTTTTGGAAACGACATTAAATCTGCACATTAATCAAATCTATGATAATTTCGTTAGGAAAGAAACGTGTTGTGGCGTTAAAGGAGCACTCTTATGAAACCGCCCTATGATTTGAAAACTCGAAAAATTCAGTTATTTCATTATAAGATAAATTTTTACCTATTGATAAAGCCTTTTCAATAACAATTTTAGTTGAAAGTCAATTCTAGGGCGAGAAATTACGATTTGAAAACCGTTCCGCAATTAATTTTCGTGATCACGGCCAACTTATCTTCGGTCAACGGTCACTCCTATTGTGACGTAGATTACTCAACGCCCTTTTTATATTTATACGGAAACCTCGTGAAATTTAGTGAAATAGTCTTAGTCTTAGTGTTATAAAAAGCAGTATATACGATCAAAATACTGTTTTTGAAAATTAGCCACGAGCACGGCGCGTCAAATGAGTAATCTCCAAACTCGCGCCAGTCTTCTTGAGCCTGGCAAGTGATTACGAAAAT